CCTGTGTGCATGAGTAGGGGGAGGGGCAGAGGGCGAGGAGAAAGAATCTAAAGCTAACTCCCAGCTGAGCGTGGAGCCTGCCACGGGGCTTGATCCCAGGACCCTGAGATCATGACCTGAGTGGAAAGCAAGAGTCAGACGCTTAATTTGCTGAGCCACCCAGGTGCCCTAGGATAGTTATTTAAATCATGTTTTGTCTTGATCAGATTGGGTTTCTCTGTTTTCCATCTTTGGCTGGGATTAATGGATGACCGCGATGGGGGTTGGTCTGAGGCTCGGCTGGTGGACGCTTTGCATCCAGTGTCCTGGGGTGGGGGGGAGGTGGTGCGGGGCAAGGCCTTGGGAGGGCAGCTTCCTGCAGTGGCCAGGGCAGAGGAAAGAGGGAGAGGTCCCAAAGTGCAAGCAGCATCTGGGGACGTCCCCAGGCTGCCAGAGGAGGAACTGGGGTTGGAGGAGGGTTACTTTCAGGACAGAGGTCTGAGCATGTGGAGAAGGAAGAGCTAAGGTGGAGCAGCAGGGGCGGCTGCTGAAGTAGATGGCTGGTGAAGTTCACTGTCACACGGGGTCTTTGGGGGTGACAGGAATGGGGAGGAGTGGCACATGTGAGCCAGGGGTCACCGGGAGGCTGGGGGTTGGGAGGGTTTGAGGCAGTGGCTAGCAGTAGGGTTCCCAAGGAGAAGGTTGTTTGCCGTGTGTTGGCAGGGGTGGGAGCTGCAGGATGCTGATGCCCGCCCCCCCGCCCGGTCTGGAGATAAAGGGGGCCGCCACCTCATTCTGGAAGCTTTAAGAATACCGTCCTGGGGGCCCGGAGGAGGATAAGTGGGTTTCACTTGAGGTGGAGAGGGAGAAGCCTAGAAACCCGCACTTGTTAGAATTGGGAGGAACAGATGTGATGGAGAGCCAAGTGGCAGAGTCATCACGTTTCTGGAAGACCACCTTTCATTTTATAGATTTTTAAAAAGTGTGTGCAGTCAGCACTTTTTAAAAACAGCTTTATGGAGGCATACATTCACATGTCCTACAATTCACCTGTGATAACTGTGTCAAACTCTGAGTTTGAATAAATTTATGCTGTTCTGCAAGCATTGCCACAGTCCAGTTTTAGGATACCTCCATCATTCTAGAAAGTTCCCTAGTGCCTGTTTGCAGTCAGTCCCTGCTCCCCTCCTAGCCCCATGCAACCACTGCTTTCTGTGTCTCTCTCCCCCGCCCCATCTCACTTTAAACCTTTGATTCTCCCGTGGAACATTTGAGTTGGTGGTGGGCTCAGGGAGGCAGCTCTACAGAGAACCCCTGCCTCGCCTCACAGTGCTCAGCATGCGCCAGGAAGTGATAATACGTGTGTATCTGTCTGTGAGCAGACCGTGAGGCCCCCTTCTCAGATCCTTACCTGGCTGGAAAGTGGGCCCCTTTACGGTGACCATGACCGGAGTGTGGCGATTGAATTTAAGCTTGGGTCCCAGGCGGTTGTCCTCATTTAGCTGATGGTGGGCCTGAGGTGAAGGCAGCAGGAGAAGACAGGGTCGGACAGTGGCTGACATCAGGGGGTCATGGGATGCTTCCGCACGCCCGTCCGAGCGCCTAGCGCCGGCTGTGAAACAAACTGACTCACAGCAGCGTCTCTTCCCTCGTCCAGAGGGCTTTGCCTTCTTTGTAGTCTTGCTCAACACCCTCTTCCCATGCTGCCTCTCGGCTTTTCCCTTGTAACGAGGAAATACGTATCAGCCAGATGTGTTCAAGAGAAGTAATTCAAGGGGCCTTTAACACTGTTTCTGAAGTATTTGACTTGGTTTAACCCTACTCTTACTTGTTTTGAGTGCCAGTGAATAGAATTGAGTCTAACAAAGAACCCCTTTGAGGTCACAGAGTTAGAGTCTACCTCAAGTACCTCCACGGACCCAGGGGAGAACCATGACCTGACTTTGAGAGTGCTGCTTGTGCAAGAGGGCACAAGGCGTGGTTGGGGTCAGGAGACCCGTGTCGGAATCTCTGAGCCCTTCCCGAGTTTGTCCCCATTTTCAACATGGAGATAAAAGCATGTGCCTGTCAAGGTGGTGAGGAGTCCAGATAGTGGAGGAAAGCGCCAACACAGGACGCGCTGAACCTGCTCTTTCTAAAATATATAGCCTTACCGAAGCATATTTTACATGGCTTATGTAATTCACCCATTTCAAGTGTACAACTCAATGATTTCTTAGTAAATTTACCAAGTTGTGCAAAGAGCGCCATAAATCAGTTTTAGAACACTTCCGTCTACCCAGTTAGATCCTTCCAGCCCCTTTGCAGCCCCCCACCCCCAGCGCCAGGCAACCACTAAAAATATACCTTCCATCTCTAATTTGCCATTTCTGAACATTTCACATAAATG